ACCGTATCCTGGGCTGCATCCAAAGCAGCGTGGCCAGCAGGTCGAGGGAGGGGATTCTCCTCCTCTACTCTGCTCTGGTGAGACCCCACCTGGAGCCCTGCGTCCGGCTCTGAGGTCCCCGGCGTAAGAAAGTCACGGACCTGCTCAAGCCTCGAAGGTGATCAGGGGGCTGGAGCACCTCCCCCGTGAGGGCAGGCTGAGAGAGTTGGGGTCCTTCAGCCTGGAGAAGAGAAGGCTCCGGGGAGACCTTACAGCAGCCTTCCAGTACCTCAGGGGGGGCCTCCAGGAAAGATGGGGAGGGACTCTTCGTCGAGGAGTGCAGTGATAGGATGAGGGTAACAGTTTTAAACTGAAAGAGGGTAGATTTAGATTAGATATTAGGAAGAAATTCTTCACTGCGAGGGTGGTGAGGCACTGGAACAGGTTGCCCGGAGAAATTGTGGATGTTCCCTCCCTGGAAGTGTTCAAGGTCAGGTTGGACGGGGCTCTGAGCAACCTGATCTACCGGAAGATGCCCCTGCCCGTGGCAGGGGGGTTGGAACTATAGATGATCTTTAAGGTCCCTTCCAACCCAAACCATTTTACAAGCCCGTTGACCTCGGCTTTACTCCTCAGCGTCGTGCTGAGCCCCTGAGCTACGTCTGGGTGCTCCCGTGCAGCCCTTCCAAAGGCCTGTGTCCTTGTGGGCCCCGTGCCCTTGTTGCAAGGTTGTCCTGTCCTGCCTGTGCTTCTCCGTTACCTTCTTCCCCCAGGGGAGCAGGGTTTGCCGTCCGGGGGCAAGCGAGGACCACGGGGAGTGCAGGAGCTGCAGCACCTCGCTCTGCCCGCCCGTGCGGAGCGGTGTTTTGGTCTGCTCGCAGGCAAGGGGCCGTGCAGGCTCTGCTCTCCTTTAAATCTTCCTTGCTCCCATGCGTGTGCGTCGACTACGCGGCCAGCACGGGTTAAAATCCCGGCCACAGGGCTGCAAGGAACAAATATTTTCTCAAAAACTGCTTTCACTGTCTGAGAGCAGCCTGAGCTGTAGCACCAGGATCTTCTCGCCTCTCCGGGGTCTGGCCCATGGCACAGGGCTGGGTTTTGGGAGCCGGAGCAGCC